GCGCATGCTCAATAAGGAAAACTATCCGTCAAAGGGACTAGGCACTAGCTGTGCATCAGGGCGGATCAAGAAATTTCCGGTTACGTGTGGACAGTGAAACAACGATTCGAAAACGATTTGAATACGCTGCGTGTGGACGCAAACATTTTCGCATCCGAAAAAAAACAAAAAAACAAAAAAACTGTGGATGCAAAAATTTCCGGATACGTGTGGACAGGGCTTTAGAAGCATTATATAATTAATATGCAATCATAAATATGTTTCAGTATTTACTCCTCATTCGGAAGAAACGAAGTTTAAGCTGCCTGTCATCTATTTTCAAACACGAGTAACTACTTGCACAAATCAATCAAATCTCTGCTTGTCAATTGCGTTTTTCTTCCTTGATTGATTTCTAAACCCTACCCTCACCACGTGCAATGTTTTCATGGTTTCCCTTCTGTTCCAGTTAAATACTGATATGTAGTTGATTAAACTTGGACATATATCTAGGGGGTTTTATGATAAAGAACAAACCAGTCAAAAAGCAATATTTCTGTTCACAGTTTACCACAAGGAGACCACCACGTGTTTCGGGTTCAGTTACTAAACCGTAAGTGAAATAAAAAAGAAATAACAAACAATTTATGTCAGCCACGTTTTGACCCAGGCTGGGTCAAAAACGTGGCTGACATCCATTGTTTGTTGTTGTTTGACTAAGATACTTGTCTCAAAGTCTTGAATAACAACTTTTACTAAGATTAGGATCCGAATTTATAAGACTTAAAATTTCAATAATAGGTAAATATTTATGGTAACTACGCTGTACACAGGAAAGAGTTATCAATACGTGAAGCTATGTCTGTGAATTATTAAAACAGCAGAATATATGAATGGATGTTTTTCGAGTGCTTTATTTTTATTTATTTCAAGGGAATCACAGAATTTCAATGGCTTGAAGTAATGATCAGAACATCGATGCACAATTTGTGAGTATTTTAAAGAACTTCTATTACTTTAAGTAAAGAAACCCCGTACTTCAATGACCAGTCATAGACAGACAGACATTGTTTTTTTTATTCTGTATCGAGTATTAGAATATACATAGCACGGACATTTTACCCGAATAAACGTACGAAGGTTATAATTGTTGATTTATAGTAACTTATATTATGTTATAATAGATTTACCTAAAACCTATTTAGTATTGTTACTATTTAGTGCCTAGTTTGGGTAAGAAGGCCACATACTATCATAACAAAAGTATATATTACAAAGAGTGCGATGGGGGGGGGGGGGGGAACTAGCTTATGGCTTAGAAAATAGAGGAAGAATTGTTGGAAAAAAACATCAGTTTTATTATGTTTTTATTGATATAAGTGTGATCCCCAAATTCTCTTTGTCATAAATCATAATTCATATATCCCATCGTGTATCCCTTGTATACTAATCTTTGCTTACGGGAACGTGACATAGCACGAAACCGACAATGTTCATTTTTGAGTTTTTCGGAGCTACTTTGTGCCCAGACATTATCCATCGAAAGCTGGACTAATGTGATTGTTGATCAGATTCTTTCTGAAGGAGGAAAGGCTACATTATTGCGCTTCCCAGCACTTCACATTCTATTAGAAACTACTAGTTTATAAATTCCTTTCGAAAGTTGAGAAGGACACGATCTTCTTCATAACACCTCCACCCACAGGGAGCCCAATTTAGATTAAAGTAAATGGTGAAAATAAAATCGAAAAAATTAAATAATAATTATTATTTTTTAATTCGAGATCAAGATAATGACGTCCTTGATAAAAAAGAGTAAAAAAAATCGATAAAAAATGCACTAGCACATTTTTTT